TATTGGTGTGCAGGCAAGAAAAAACAATCAAGTGAAAGCCGAAATAGCATAATATAGAAGGTATATATAAAATATATATATGCATATATAATTGGCGTATACAAGTCCAAAAACACTATTTCAAAGTATTTGGTTGTAATGACATTTTTCAAACTGCATCAAAGACTCGGCGACGACGAATTCTATTCAAAAATAAATAATTTAATAAAAGTTTTTCGCGGGATAAAAATATAAACGTTTTGTACGAGTATAATATTATTTATCAAAAGAGCTACTGGCCGATATAGAATACACTTAAAAACAAATACAAATTTCAAATGGCTAATTTTTACCACATCTAGAAAATATTCTATGAAAATGTCAGGTTTTTACGGCCATTTCAATACTAGACAATAACTTCAAACTAGACAATAATAAAAAAAAAAATAAAAAAACGATGAGTTTTCTTTCAAATTTCGGCGTGAGATTCCCGATGTTGAAATACAACTAAAAAAAAAAAAAGCCGATACTGGTGTTAGGAGCGGCCACTGTTGTAGATGAGAAGTTGGAAAGGTAGGATACATAAGGTTATTTCATCTATATTTGTAAGCAACAATAAACCATTGCTTGACGAAAGACGATTCCGATCTCAGTTCGGTAATACATAATTTGAAGTGCCGTAATTTTTTTTTGCGATTTTCGTTTAAATTTGATTTCAAAACGTTTATTAAAAAAAAAATAGTCATCTGATGATTTTGGAAATTTTACGACGTTAGGTAAGTCCAATATAAGTATTATTACCAAGTTTCAAGTTTCTACGTGTATTTATAACCGAATTACAGCAAAAATCTCCCAAAAATTAAAATTCCTTAAAAACTCAAAAGTGACTCAACAATTTTGACGATGATACCGTAAGAAATTAAATCAAAAAAGGTATTTTGTAATTATTCGATTAAATCATTTTTTCTGGTAAAAAACGTTGTCCGTGTTTTTATAAAACAATGAACTAGTGAAAATGTACGTTCTCCTACGTTTTTTCCTACTAAAGTGCTATTATTTAAAAAATGGCGTCTAAAATCAAAAAATGACCTCTGTAAATTACCATCTAGACAACTTGAGCTTCGGAAAAGTTGCTTATACGTAAAAATCGGAGCAAGTTTACTAGGAAAAAACGTGTCCACAGACTAAAACAAATAAAAAAAAATAATAATAAACATAATAAATACATTATTCATCGATTCGTTCAGAATCGAATAAGACATCGCGCAACAACGATTACCTACTGAAATAGAAGAAAAAAAAAGATAAATTTATATTAAATTAACATCCAAATATCAATTAAAAATGCTAAAACAATTTATTGAATAACCGAAAACCGATTTCTCTTTATTCTGTTGAATGTGGCGTTCAGTCAATTTTACTTAACAACGCGGTACCTGGTTTTGTTTGATTGCCCGATTAAACTCGTATTTGAAATTTAAACAAACGATAAACACACGTTTATGTACGTACAGAACGAACGTACATTGTAATAATTTAATCGTAAATATATCTCTAACACGGTACAAATCAAATATGAATGCACCCAAAGACATTGTATAGAAATGTTAAAATGTAATTATTATATTTGAAACTTTATCAGATTCGCTGGAACGCAACACACTGAAATAGAAAAGACAAGTTTGCATCGCGACCGTTTATAATTTCCTATTATGTTATACCTGACGATGTCTGTATACGAATATTATGACGTACACGGCAAGTATGGTACCCATTAAAACAGGACACGCCACAAAAGAATTGGTTTCTGCTAAACTTTAGTAGGTATTACTGTATTATTACACAATACGTTTGTCGTTCTATGATGGTTGGCATACAGTTAAATTACTTTCGACGGATAGCGGAATGACATGAAAATACCCAATAAAAAAAAAAACCAATTCGTAATTGAAATTTTGCCGGTTTCTCATTAAAAACCAGAACTCATATTGACGTGCCTTAAATGAACAACAATACCGTATAGCATAACAAAAAAAAAAAAACGTGGACATACTGGCATCTTCAAAACGAAAAAACGTTCTCGAAACCGAGACGATTTCAATTACAAGTCGACGGTTGCAAATCACGACAGGTTTATTATACTCGTCGATTGCACGGGGGTTTCAATAATAATTATCACGCTTAAACGGCTTTCGTCGCATATCGGGTGAAAATCCTGCGGTTCGACCGGGCCCGTAGCAACATGGGTTGGGGGGACAAAAGGGTAAATCACCCTCCTCTAAACCCGTTCGCGGGCCTCCCCTAGCGTTTTTATCGGAAGACGACGATTTTCGAATTAATCATTAGGAAAAAAAAAAATAGTCTAATAGTAAAAGATCCGTAACAGTTGTTTTTCTAACGCCCCTCCCCGTCGTATAACTCGGTTTCCACCCCCTTTGAAAAATTGATCTGTGCCTGGGCTGGACACGAGAAGAAATCATCCTGTACAGAGCAGATTGTATTGCACGATATCCGTTTTCGTTTAACAATGTACGTTCGAAATGATTGGACATCGAGACGCGCGTTCATCGGGCTACCGACCGTCTGATCGTGCGTCTAAAAATGGACTGCTGGAGGTCGATGGGCTTTGGCCAGCGGACGAAGACGGGCCCCGCCGAGACGCCGACTTTGATCGGATTCACTCGATTTCGGTTTTCCGAGACGCCTATAATACCGAAATAGCGTAGAATAATAATAATATTAGGTAACGTGTTATTGTTATTATTTTTCATTTTGTCGCTTCGTCTTGTAGAATATTGCAACAATAGAATAGAACAGAACAGAACACGATTAAATACTCTGAAATTAGATTCAGTTCGACGAAATGCGAATGCCTGTACGAGCGTCCGGGAATTCTAAAAAAAAAACATTTTCGGAAATCTCGGTTAACAAACCGCCACCGTTACCACCGAACCGCCAATGCATATTAACGGGTTTTCCCAGTACTACTCGGCACGTATCATTATCGAAAAGATTTTCGGAGGAATCCGAGGGAAACAGCTGCGACCAACTTACTGGCGAACATTTTAGTACGAATGCGCCGATTTATCGCGTTGATAACGATAAGTTTTACCTTCATGTTGTTTGGTCCGTTTTAATTGCGTTGCTCAAAATACGGCCGTGAAAATATTGTTTATGATTTATTAGCGTTCAAACACGACGGGATTGCGAACAATATTCCAATGGAATGAAAATATTATAATCATTACGCCCCCGGCGTTAACCGTAGACAATTCAAGTGCGCCGATGATTGCGGGACCGCTGCACGATATTTTCGTATGACACACTCGTACCGGCCGTACCCGTTTCAAGCGTCCCACCCGTGGATGGCTGAGAAAAGAAAATAATGAAATTACGTTGTATGGTTTATAATCCAAGTCTTGACGTATGGTTTATCATATTACCTATAAACTGTAATCATATTTTAAGCATCGAAAAATTATCGATAGTTGATAATTAACCAAATTATAAATAAAATCAATGGATTTACAGATGCTAATTTCAAATGGGTTTTCGTATCTATAAATAACCATTGTCACAACTGAGGTGCACCAAATTCCTTCCGAAATGTAAATTTCTAGTTGTGCCTAGAGATGTGGGTGTAGTTAAAAATAGTTCGTGTCGCCGCTGAACATGGGGAGGGGAAACATTAGGAATGTATTACGCAAGAACTCACAAACGGGGAAAGTATTATACAAGAATGCACAAAACCGGAGAGAATTACGCAGGAAATTCGGGAAATTAATAAAGAAAGAACAAAACTAATAAAATGGTTAATAATGGTAAATAACTATATAAATAAAAAATAAATAAATGGATGAATGCATCGCCTGGGGTATTATACGACCGGTTTATTTTTACGACCGGTTTCGAATTAAAAATTCATCATCGGGTATTTCACAGTCAAAATATAAAACGCGACTGAATATAAAAAATAAAACGATATTCCTTCATTTAATATTAAATTTATATTTATAAACAGTCGAACTGTGCGTAGCTAGCGACTGACTCCGTCAGATGTCTAGGTACACCCAAAATGCATTCGTTTTTTCTCTGTTATCTACCCGATGTGGTTTTTCACAACAAATCGAGGACTATTTTCGATTAAAACGGTCCGAATATTTGAAGATTTATGCCGTGCCTTATTTTATAATAATGGATCTGACGAATTATGATCAACATTTTCAAAATCGGCGTCCAAAAGAACATCTTTTGGGAAACTTTTTTGTGAAAGTTCGAAATTGTTAAAGTTTTTTTGTCATAACTTGTTTTTATAATAGTTTCTGCAAAAAAATTCAAACAGTCTCAAAATCAGAGTTAACAAACGCGTCTTTAAAAAAATAATTTGTTGATATTTGTGAAAGACATTGTGAATCTGTTTTCGATAGAATAAATGGAGTCCACCCCAGAAAAATTGTCTGGATTCAACGTTCTTTGACCCTGTAGACGCCCATCCCTCTTATTGTGGATAGCAAAACTGAACTAAAATACAGTTATAACAATAAAACAATATTAATATGCCCATGTAAATACCGTAGGTCGGGTATCTATTATTAATCGTGCATTAGCATTGGCAACGTCCAAGTTCAACAGACGATAAAGAAATAACATAGTAAACGTCTTACTCGAATTTACACTATACCTACCTACATACTAAAGGTGTATAAACACATTGTATATTTTTAACATATTCTACCAAATATATTATGCAGTTGTTCAATTGTGCAAGTTAACAAATATTATAAAATAGGTACCTTGATGCCCGATATGAAACGTCAAATTGCACACTTTAATAGTGATATATTTGTACTCCTTGTGATAACGAATTGTTAATCAGCCGCTCGGTACGATCAATATTATTTGTCTTTATACTGTTTTGTAACACAAAATTTTTTGTTTTTCATTTCCCGATGGAAAATTTCAATTTTACAATGTTGAAGAATTGTTAAGTGTTATGGTTGTTTTTATAACTGCGGAATACTCACCGNAAACTGTGGTGGAACAACAGTGAAGTTAACCGTTTGTACGGCTGGCCATACCTACACAAAATGATAGATAAGAAAACTATGAAACAGTTACCAAAAAACTAATTGATTTCAAAGATTTACCAAATAACTAGTTAGCATAACAGTCACATAATTGTCTTCTAATTTTGTTTGTATCGCTGGCCATTCATCTCCACTAATTATTTTACTTATAATTAACACACTACCATTAATAATAGGTGATGCGACCAATTGATCTATTTTTTTTGCAAAAATGGGTATTGTGTTTTAGTTCCAAACCGGACCAGTTTTCTATACCACACACTAAATGTTGGTCCAACTGCACATCCAATAGATTCGTATCACACTGTACGTAACCAATCGATTTCAGTAAGTTTCCGCTTTTCTACGAGAATTTGAGCCGTCACATCACCAAAACCAAATAAAATACCTTTAACGCAATTTTAATTAAGATAATATGTAAAATACAATTTTATAATTAACGAAACGTACCTGTTTGTACGAGATTGGTCCTTATTGGATAACTGTGACTGTAATGCCTGTACCATTTTAAAAAATGACGCCATTCTGGTTTACTGTGGACTCGATGATGGTTTTAGCAATAATATACTAACACTAACAATTGTTGCATCAGTAGTGTACCACAATGTGTTTCATTTAATGATTATACACAGTTTCACTCGTTCATTCAGTTTTCTTAGGTTAAAATTAATATGGTATGTGTCTGCTTGAAACCAACAATAAATAATACTTATTACAAGGCTGCTTAAATGTATAAACATGAATATCACGCTAATGGACGGTCTTTGCATGCCTACCAATTATAAACTGCCCAAATTCACAGGATTTTAAATTTTTAACTGGAAAAGTGTAGTGTCTTTGGACGTTAGAATTGAAACTACCAACTACCAATTTGTAACCGGTTGATTTCTTCTCTTATCTTGCGTTTTCAGCTCGTCACTTGTACAGAGCGTTCAAAATGTTTGTTGTATTGTACACTGTACGGCCTGCGCGATACACTATCGCAACAATGCTAATAAATTAGGTCAAATATGATCGGTATCTTATTAAATTAACGGTTCCTAATCATTGTAAAACTCCGGTGAATTAAGATTATAATAATAGGAGACTATTATAATTCACAATGGTTTATACATTTATACATGGATTATTTTTTACCAAAACACATTACCACGTTGGTAAAAGTCATAGACGAAATATCGTTAATCGTCACGACGAAAATATTGTAATACCTAGAATGGTGAATACTACAATGTTTTTTTTCTGTGTTCGCTTGTTTTAAAATAATAGGCTGCAGATAAAGCAGTTTTGGGTGCCTAAAATGACTTTCCGAGGACGTTGAGGAGCGTCTCCGGACGCAGATATTCGATAGAGTCCATTTTTGACGTCCTCATCGGTTGTCTTAAGAGGTCCCATTTTTCACCGCCTTTTTTCAATGTTCCGTGGATGACTGATTGGCGGTCTTTCGGTGTAAGGAAACATTAACCGGAATATTAACACGCGAAAGCGAAAACCATGGGGAGATAATTTTTGAATAAAATTATTTTGAAATTTTTTTTTTTTTTTTTTTACACACGGGTACAAAAATGTACTTTGGATATATTATTGGTATCGTAGTAATTTCAAGCAAAATCCGGAACCTCTTTTCTCCACCTAGCATACAATATGGATGTTATAATACGATAAGTAATTTAAAATTTGTTGTTGATCAGCCAATAAAAATGATATAAAATTCAAAATAACGCAGATTATCACCATACTGAACCGTGTTTTATCTAATTAGGTACCTACGTTTGAATATCTAATACAAAGTGCCACGGCGTTACATAACAAACTATTATCAGCTAAAATTAGTACCTAGCACGTACCTGTATTAATTAATATCTTTATTCGTCGTGAATACCTATAGGTAATAATACAATGTCGTGTAGTTTTTTCATTTTGTCAAAAAATGTGAGATACGATTAAATGCTAACCATATAGATGAGTGTTAAGTACCCACTTGACGAATAATAATTCCTCGTCTGTAAATATTATTATTAATTTTATTATGCATCTATAAGACTATGCGCCATGAATTGTACAAAATAAATAAAAAAAAACATTAAACAGATATAGTTGGCGTTGTTTCAACTTTCGTGGTAGACACGTACAGGTGAATAATATATATATGTATTATATATAACGTATAAAAAAAAAAAAACGGACGAATTCAAACAAATTCATATTTAGAAAAAAAATAATAACATTTTTTTATATTTATAAAGAAAAATTTTAATAATACGATGATTGTGACTTTCAGATGTTCCGCACGTTTGTATTTGTTACACGTGCACAAACTCCATATACTCGATTCGCCTCCTATACAGCCATTGGATCGAAAGAAGGTAGTCGCTGACAAAAAAAAAGGTAGTTATGACGAAAACGTCATAACATTACCGTCTGGGCGAACCATGCGTACAATAAAAAACAGTAATTATACTTTTCGTGCGATTTTATTGTCTAGATTACAGTCGCACACGTGAANAGTGATTTCTAATGTGCGTGTGTGTTACATGAAAAAAGACTGGGGAATCCTTGTTCCGTTTTAAACACCATTAGCCAAAAATAATTTTATATTATTATTATTTGCAATCAATCGTTTCTTAATTCAACATCAATTTACAAATTATCACAATTGGACAATTTTTTTTTATTTTTTTCAAATAAATTATTGTTATTATATTGTATAAAACTGTGTGACACAATAATTAAACAATACATGCATAGAAATATACATCATAAAAAAAAAAAAAACTATGCTCTAAATGTCAATAAAAATATAATTATAAATAGGTATGCAATTACCAAAATATGAAAATAAAACTATGGTACATAAACTATTTTATAGTAATAATTTCAACTCACTTTGTTATAAATAGAGGATCGACAAAAACATGGATTGCATGTATTTATAACTTCAAATTCCTAATTATTATAGCTCTTATGTTGTTTAATATATGAAATTTTTTTTTTTTCTTGAAACCAAGTTATCCTATGACAATTTCGTAAATTTGTTGTTTTGGTTATTTCAGACAATGTACATAATGAAACCAATTATTCACTTGGGCGGTATGTATGTATTTGGCGAGCGTTCATGGAAACCTTGGTTCATATCACTAACAATTGAATACATTAGGTAAGTCGTGTAAATATAACAATACTAGCAAATATTATTCTGACCATTAAACAATTGTTTTGTATTTCAGTTTGCAAAGGTTGAAATCCTCAAAGAGTCTCACTGCTCAACAACGTTTGGTATTGTCAAAACGAACACTTAATTTAGTTATGTATTTAATAAGATCTCCTTTCTTTGAGAATTATTCGGAGAAGCGTTTTCGAGCATTTTTATACTGGTTTGTCAATTCTGTGCCATTGGTTGGTCCACTCATGCGACCTTTCCTAGAATATATGCAACAATGGCAAGAAACATATTTTTATATTTGGTCGGTTTAATTTGTCAGATGGTATTGGTGTCATTATTTTTTTTTACACTATTTAAATTTGGAGGGTTTCATAAATTACTTTTTTTTCCTTTTAATATATTTATAGAATAGATTTCTTTTATAATAATCTTACTTTTTTATAAGGTGTTTTTATATATTATTAAATGAATGTGTTTAAAACGCTCAATTACTTAGAAAATATTAGGTACTTTATATTATGTATGAGTAATTGTGTATTATTAAGAATTTACTGTCTTATATTCCTTGTGTTTAATGTAATACACATTATTATTTAATAATTAGTTATATTATTTTAGAATAAGAATGTTTAAACATTCTGGGACTGGTTATTAATAATTAGTAGAGACATGTGTGCACACATACCAATTTCTGTTGATCGCCGTGTGTTCTAATTCTAAGACTGGTTTAGATATAAGTTAAACAAAACTGTTATGAAAAAAAAATGATTGTGTTAATATTTAACTTGTATATTCTGATAATATATAAAACTTAATTCCTAATCGCCACGATAAACATAATATATTTAAAAATAATTGATATGATGTCTGTATAACTATCGTAGAAAAGTAGGTATTTTAACTAGTATATTGAATTCAAATATTTAATTTTCATTTTTTATCCAACTCAACCCACGCAACATAACTTAATGAAAAGAAATTCCGAGTGGAGTTCCATTTTTTGACCAAACTTTTAAACTTTTGGCATATGCTTTTTCGATGTCTAGTCGTTCTTGTATAAGTGTAATAATATCATTGCATAATCAATAGCTATAAATCAATTCACTCGAATTTAGGACCCTAAGTTTGACATTGCCTACAGCTAAATTACTAACAATAATTTTTAGCAAAGAGATAAGTAAAAATATAGAAGCTAGGCTAATGAATGATGAATATGGTTTCCGGAAGAATAAAGGAACCAGGGAAGCAATTTTTGATCTGAGAATAATACTCGAAGAACAAATCGAGAGAAACAAAATTACTTACATGGCCTTTATTGACTTAGAAAAAGCTCTATAGCATAAACTGGGCGTGTCTCTTTAAAATTCTGGAAGAATCAGAGATCGATTTTAAAGATAGACGTATCCTTCATAAACTCTATGAAGAACAAAAGGCCATAATAAACATGAACTCATCAACATCAACCGCTAAAATTCAAAAAGGTGTAAGACAAGGGTGCCCACTGTCACCTGCGTTTTACAATTTATGTATTGAAAAAGTAATAAATGAAATAAAATTTAGGTTAGATTGAAATGAAATTGGTGTCAAAATAGGTGTTGTATTTATGAAAATAAATGCTGATAAGACCAAATCCTTAGTGTGCTACAAGACAAACATACTATATAATATATAGTATTACATTTATATATAGTATATATAAATGTAACGCTAGAAAATGAGAGAATTGTCTAAGTAGATTATTTCAAGTACTTAGGCAGCATTATATCAAACAATCGGAAATCAGAAGCAGAATAGGTCAAGCAAAAAATACATTCCTTAAAAAGAGGAAATCGATAACATACATCCGGAGCGTGCTTTTATACGGAAGTGAGGAGTGGACATTAAATAAAAAAAAGAAAGAGACAGGTTAGAAGCGCAGGAAATGTAGTATTAGAAAAGGATGCAGAGAATAAGCTGGACTGAGAGAAGAACAAATGATGACATCCTGAAAACAATAGGAGGAAAAAAGAGTATTGATAGATACTCTACGAAGAAGATGGCAGTTGATAGGACATATGTTGAGGCATAGAGATGAATTACACAGTTTAATAATTAAAGGAATGATAGAGGAGACACGATCAAAAGAAAGACCAGGAACTAAATACAATAGCCAAATAATGCAACACGCAAGTCACAACTAACAGAGAGCTCAAAAAAATGGAAAGGGATGGAAAAAGATGGAGAAGACATTTGCTGTGAAAATTATTTTCATTTGTTAAGAAACCAATCTCCGGATTGAAAGACAAAAAAAAAATAGAATAATAAAGTAAAAACAAAATTATTACAATAGTTAATACTCGTCAATAATTATATAAATGAAAAATAAATTAATTAATAAATGCGTAGCCTGGATTATTATACGACCGGTTTCGAATTAAAAATTCATCATCCGGTATATTAGTCAAAATGTAAAACGCGACTGAATATAAAAAAAAAAAACGATATTCATTCGTTTTATATTTTAGTACAGTTTAAGAACAATTACATGTATACAATGAAATGAAGACAAATAATTTGAATACTATTTAGTATGTGTAAACCGTTTCAACACCAATATATTTGAGATAATAAATAATAACCAAATGATTTTTATTTTATATGTATAATAATAACCGAATTGACAATGTCGAATGGCACACTTTAATAGTGATATATTTGTACTCCTTATGATAACGAATTGTTAATCAGCCGCTCGGTACGATCAATATTATTTGTCTTTATACTGTTTTGTAACACAAAATTTTTTGTTTTTCATTTCACGATGGAAAATTTCAATTTTACAATGTTGAAGAATTGTTAATTGTTATGGTTGTTTTTATAACTGCGGAATACTCACCGTTTTGTATAACATTTGAGACAACTTGTACGCAGTAATTGATAACCGGTAAAAACAATTGATAACGCTTATCGCAATAGGTTCTTCAATAACAAAAATAATCAAACCAATATAATATTCAAAAATGATATAAGTTCAGTACCAGCGTTATATTAATTTTAATTCATGTAAATTAATTAAATTACTTTTACTTGTGTACTATAGAAATAAAATGGAACATTTATCATTACCTACGTTGAAAATACTTTATAAACATTATATCAATTGGGTCAGCACTCATCCAGAACACACTACACATCTTGAAGCTTCAATAAAATGGATTTCTTATTTTTTAGCTGGTATGTTACACATTAATTTTAATCCAAATAGAAATACTCTTAACTATACACCAGCACATGTTTGCAGGACGAATAAACAACTCAACATTATTATCCGAGCTTATTTATTCAATGTCAAACTTCATGTTGCTATTTAATGATCAAATCATATTGAATATTGACAAAAAATCTACACCAACCAATGACAAAGGAAATAAAAAGATATTTTCCCCTGAAAACATCAAGTGTTTCCTTACCATGNTCATAATTTTTACTATTATGCATAACTTAGTTTAAAACAATTGAAATTTTACTAAAAATAATAATTTTATTGCATTATAAAATTACCAATAATTTTAATATGAGCAAGTATTTAAATTCTGAGTTTCACTTAGGTTAGATTTTCATTACTTTGATAATTTCTGCATTAAAATTTAAAATAATACAATATTGCGTTGTGTTTCTTCTGCCACTTGTTCTATCGAGTATGCAAAAAAAAGCTTCTTCTTTTACAAATGTACTAGTAAACTATTTAGAAATATTACCTGCTATAACATTTATTTCAAAAAATATCACATTTTATTTAACAAATAAATGATACAATAAATTTTAACAGCCATAATAACTTTTTACTGGAAATTAAATTATAATTTTGTAGATGTAAATGATTGTATAATTCAGTCTTCCTCCACTGTTTACGATTTTCCACCACCAACACTCATAAATGAAAGATATGTATTCCAAGCTAACGATACTATTTGCACTGACAGCACTCTAAACTGTGGTGGAACAACAGTGAAGTTAACCGTTTGTACGGCTGGCCATACCTGTACAACATGATAGATAAGAAAACTATGAAACAGTTACCAAAAAACTAATTGATTTCAAAGATTTACCAAATAACTAGTTAGCATAACAGTCACGTAATTGTCTTCTAATTTTTTTTGTATCGCTGGCCATTCATCTCCACTAAATACTCTACTCATAATTAACACACTCCCATTAATAAGGGGCGATGCGACCAATTGATCTACTAATATCTTTTTCGCAACAATGGGTACTGTGTTTTTAGTTCCGAACCGATCCAGTGTTCTATACCACATACTAAGTGTTGGTCCGACTGCACATCCAATAGATGCATATCGCACTGTACGTAACCAATCGATTTCAGTAAGTTTCCGCTTTTCTACAAGAATTTGAGCCGTCACATCACCAAAACCAAATAAAATACCTATAACGCAATTTTAATTAAGATAATGTGTAAAATACAGTTTTATAATTACCGAAACCATGGACAAACATGCTCTAACCAGGAAATTGGATAACTGTGACTGTAATGCCTGTACCATTTTAAAAATGACGCCATTCTGGTTTACTGTGGACTCGATGATGGTTTTAACAATAATATTCTCTGAACACTAACAATTATTGCACCAGTAGTGTACCACAATATGTTTCATTTAATGATTATACACAGTTTCACTCGTTCATTCAGTTTCTTTAGGTTAAAATTAATATAGTATGTACGTTTGTTTGAGACCAATAACAAATAATACTTATTACAAGGCGGCTTAAATATATAAACATGAATATTATGCTAATGGACAGTCATTGCATGCCTACCAATTATAGACCGTCCAACTTGACGGGATTTTAAATTGTAAACTCGAAGAGTGTAGTGTAGTTGGACGTATGAATTGAAACTACAATTATTTAACTCGTAACCGGTTGATTTCTTCTCTTATCTTGCGTTGTCAGCTCGTCGCTTGTACAGAGCGTTCAAAATGTTTGTTGTATTGTTAACTGTACAGCCTGCACGGTACACTAGCGCACAATGCTATTAAATTAGGTCAAAAATGATCGGTATCGTATTGAATTAACGGTTTGAAATCGTAATAGAACTCCGCTGAATTAGGATTTTAATTACGGGCGACTGTTATTATTCAATATGCTTTATAAATTTATACATGGATTATTTTTTATGCAAGAGACATTGCCACGTTTGTAAAAGTCATAGACGAAATATCATTTTCGTCACGACAAAAATATTGTAATACCTGAGTTGGTGATTATTATAATGTTATTTTTTTTTTTTTAGTGTTCATCTCGTTTTAAGTTAATAGGCTGCAGGTGAAGCAGTTTTGGGTACCGAAAAAGACTCCGAGGACGTTGAGGAGCGTCTCCGGACGCAGATATTCGATAGAGTCCATTTTTGACGTCCTCATCGGTTGTCTTAAGAGGTCCCATTTTTCACCGCCTTTTTTCAATGTTCCGTGGATGACTGATTGGCGGTCTTTCGGTGTAAGGAAACATTAACCGGAATATTAACACGCGAAAGCGAAAACCATGGGGAGATAATTTTTGAATAAAATTATTTTGAAATTTATTTTTTTTTTTTTTTTTTACACACGGGTACAAAAATGTACTTTGGATATATTATTGGTATCGTAGTTATTTCAAGAAAATCCGGAACCTCTTTTCTCCACCTAGCATACAATATGGATGTTATAATACGATAAGTAATTTAAAATTTGTTGTTGATCAGCCAATAAAAATGATATAAAATTCAAAATAACGCAGATTATCACCATACTGAACCGTGTTTTATCTAATTAGGTACCTACGTTTGAATATCTAATACAAAGTGCCACGGCGTTACATAACAAACTATTATCAGCTAAAATTAGTACCTAGCACGTACCTGTATTAATTAATATCTTTATTCGTCGTGAATACCTATAGGTAATAATACAATGTCGTGTAGTTTTTTCATTTTGTCAAAAAATGTGAGATACGATTAAATGCTAACCATATAGATGAGTGTTAAGTACCCACTTGACGAATAATAATTCCTCGTCTGTAAATATTATTATTAATTGTATTATGCATCTATAAGACTACGCGCCATTAATTGTACAAAATAAATAAAAAAAAACATTAAACAGATATAGTTGGCGTTGTTTCAACTTTCGTGGTAGACACGTACAGGTGAATAATATATATATGTATTATATATAACGTATAAAAAAAAAAAAAACGGACGAATTCAAACAAATTCATATTTAGAAAAAAAATGATAACATTTTTTTATATTTATAAAGAAAAATTTTAATAATACGATGATTGTGACTTTCAGATGTTCCGCACGTTTGTATTTGTTACACGTGCACAAACTCCATATACTCGATTCGCCTCCTATACAGCCATTGGATCGAAAGAAGGTAGTCGCTGACAAAAAAAAAGGTAGTTATGACGAAAACGTCATAACATTACCGTCTGGGCGAACCATGCGTACAATAAAAAACAGTAATTATACTTTTCGTGCGATTTTATTGTCTAGATTACAGTCGCACACGTGAAACGATAAAATATTATTGTTCTATTCCAGCTCCTCCGTTTAACCAACGCACCTGGCAAGCCCCGCCGAGACCAGACACGTTCATCGAACGAGGATTGATTATCACAAACAGACGTGTTGTAGCGGAGGTACATTTTTTGTCATCAATTAAGTGATTTCTAATGTGCGTGTGTGTTACATGAAAAAAGACTGGGGAATCCTTGTTCCGTTTTAAACACCATTAGCCAAAAATAATTTTATATTATTATTATTTGCAATCAATCGTTTCTTAATTCAACATCAATTTACAAATTATCACAATTGGACAATTTTTTTTTATTTTTTTCAAATAAATTATTGTTATTATATTGTATAAAACTGTGTGACACAATAATTAAACAATACATGCATAGAAATATACATCATAAAAAAAAAAAAAACTATGCTCTAAATGTCAATAAAAATATAATTATAAATAGGTATGCAATTACCAAAATATGAAAATAAAACTATGGTACATAAACTATTTTATAGTAATAATTTCAACTCACTTTGTTATAAATAGAGGATCGACAAAAACATGGATTGCATGTATTTATAACTTCAAATTCCTAATTATTATAGCTCTTATGTTGTTTAATATATGAAATTTTTTTTTTTTCTTGAAACCAAGTTATCCTATGACAATTTCGTAAATTTGTTGTTTTGGTTATTTCAGACAATGTACATAATGAAACCAATTATTCACTTGGGCGGTATGTATGTATTTGGCGAGCGTTCATGGAAACCTTGGTTCATATCACTAACAATTGAATACATTAGGTAAGTCGTGTAAATATAACAATACTAGCAAATATTATTCTGACCATTAAACAATTGTTTTGTATTTCAGTTTACAAAGGTTGAAATCCTCAAAGAGTCTCACTGCTCAACAACGTTTGGTATTGTCAAAACGAACACTCAATTTAGTTATGTATTTAGTAAGATCTCCTTTCTTTGAGAATTATTCAGAGAAGCGTTTTCGAGCATTTTTATACTGGTTTGTCAATTCTGTGCCATTGGTTGGTCCACTCATGCGACCTTTCCTAGAATATATGCAACAATGGCAAGAAACATATTTTTATATTTGGTCGGTTTAATTTGTCAGATGTTATTGAAAAAATGGGTGTCATTATTTTTTTTACACTATTTAAATTTGGAGGGTTTCATAAAGTACTATTTTTTCTTTTTATATGTTTATAGAATAGATTTCTTTTATAGTTATCTTACTTTGTTATAAGGTGTTTTTATATATTATTAAATTAATGAGTTTAAAAGGCTCAATTACTTGGAAAACTGTTATGAAAAAAAAATGTTTGTGTAAATATTTAACGTGTATATTCTGATAATATATAAAACTCAACTCCTAATCGCCATGATAAACATAATACATTTAAAAATAATTGATATGATGTCTGTATAACTATCGAAGAAAAGTAGGTATTTGACCTAGTATATTGAATTTAAATATTTAATTTTCACTATTTGTCTATCTTTGAAAGATAGACTACAAATGAAAAATGATCTTTATTTCTTATTTAAGTTTAAACCACTTCCTTAATATATTTTATAGCGAATAATACTGTAACTTTCAGAATTTAGAGTTTCGGTTAAACTTAATGTTAACAACTAGACTGGGAATAAAATCATTTTATTATATTTTTTCACAAAGTTCACAATGGAATTTGAAGATTACATTTACGAAAAATATATCAAATCTATAATTACAATGTTTATAAATATTTAGATATTTTTCTATGAAAACTAAAACATAATTCGGCAATATCTCTTTCCTTCAAACTAAAATTATTTGCTAATAATAAAAAACCTATATAATAAAAAGACCGACTTTGCACATTCGTGAGCTACCATTGTAGGTAGAAGTTTGGAAAAAAAAAGTTGTAAATTTAATGTATATCTGTGTATCCGTATGCAACATAACTTGATGAAAAAAAATGTTGAGCAGAGTACAGTTAAAAGTTTTGCTTTGTCAACAATATATGTTACCATTAAGGTAAAATAATTAATAACATAATAACTCATGCATTACATATTTTCTTTAATAACATTTGTTTAATATTATTTATTTAAGATTATATTTAATCTATCATGTTTTTCCCATTTATTTGGAAAAAAAATAACCTTCCTAAAGGATCACCTCAGGATAGTTCTCTTTTAGAAAAGGTTCTGTACTTGATACTTCTGGTTGAATTGTACAGTTAAAAAGAAAAGCCAATACATTTATCTATGAATAAGAAATTGTTAAAAAATAGCAAAAATGTTTTCATAATCTCAAAAATGCTGAAATAATTATTGAAAATTAACTGATAAGTGTGCCATGAAAAATTTTATTGAATCATAGGAAATTAAATATATTTAATGTATGCCATTAAAAAAGTTAACAAAATATAAATAATGGTTTGTCTTAAACTATTTTTTGTAGGTCATGGTGAAAATTATTAATTATTCTTCAATGAAAACAAATAGAAGGCATAAATATTTCCATGATATTATTGTTCATTCAACTAAGTCAAATGCTAAAAAAAAATATTTAAACATAATATATGTTCAAAATTTGCGAAAAGAATAATAAACTATTTTATAACAAGTAAAATTAAATAATTTCATAACAGAAAAATACAGTGATATAAATTATGTTGGATTAAAATATTAGTTAATACAAAAATGTTCTCTAGGCTATAATCATAAATCAATTATTTAAAGAATATGCACTAATTTTTTTCTTAATCTCCCAAAACAAATGAGTTTCCAAATATATTTCCCATGAAAAATGAATAATTATAATTATAGGCTCTTTTATCAAAATAGGTAAACATCAGTGATAAAATTAAAAACAATGTTTTTTACAGATTATAGTGAGAATTAGATTTATAATCTCTTTTTAAATGATTTTTTCAAGCACTTTTTCGTGAATTTTAAGAACATGTAAATCCAGTCTCAGTGATAATAATAATTTTTTTGACAAGCTAATAATACCTTACTAATAAAATGTCAACAAGATTTTTTAAAAATAGTAATAAATTTGTTATAGGCATTAAAAAATTAATCATTACTCATTTATTTTTATTGATAATTAATCCTTCCGAGAAAGATTTCTAGAATAATTGGAGTATATAACTTCCAATATAACCCTGATTGTCTTATTATCCTGATGATAACAATACACACTTTCTTATACATTTTTTATTATCTTCAATGGTAATAAAAAGTTTTAAGATGTCCTGAAAAGTATTTTTTTTAAAATTTAAAATTGTTTATTTTTATTAAATTTCTGCTTGATATGTTTTAAATACTTTCATAAATCAGTTGAAGTATTTCAAAAAATTAAATGTACAACATGCAACACAATAATGAATTATTTAAAATTCAATTATATGAATGAATAACTAATATGTAATAATATATTATATTCTATGTACAAAACATAACTAAAAAAATATTAAATAGTTAACAGTTGTTTTTTTTACAATCTAATGGCAAATTAATATTTGTATAATAAGTATTATTAGTAAATTTTCCATTTAAAAATACAATTAACAACAATTATTACCAATAAATACATTTTCATTTAGAAAATAACAATAGTAGCAGATACTATTGCATTTAAATTGAAACATAACAAAATAGAAATAAACAATTCAATTCAAAATCAAGTCATTGGCTATTTTTCTCTGCTACATGTTTTTTGGCCTAACTATAAAAATAATTAAAATTATCTAGTAAAATTATTTGTCCTATTTAAGTTATTCATTGTATTCATTCAGATTTTGATTTGATCTTATAAAATTTATAAAATATGGTTTGATACTTATTTTTAATATTATTATATGATACATTTTTCTTACATATAAATAATTATAATATTAATTTACTATTTTAAATATTATATGGTGTTTGAGTAAATAAGTAATTATCTATACACGTCTCTAAAATATTTGATAGTAGATAGTGCCAGTAAATAAATTATTAACATTAAATTAAAATATAGTTTGAGTATTTAGTAAAATGTTTGTTTAAAATAAATTAAAAAAATAAATATTTGTTTTATCTACTAGTTGTTCCCTCTTTATAATAACAACAAAATAACTAAATAGGTGTTTTTCATTAAATAAATATAAATTAACAAACAATTTAAATTTAAAACAACCAATATTTCAAAAATATGAATTGGATCACAACATTTTTCTTTTGGCAGAGGAACAAACAATACTCCTTATTATACGTCATTGTTGTTTTCATTTTTAATATAATACAAATTATTTGATAATGTTCACACCATTTCTTTCATTTATGATACAGATTCTACATAATTAGCTGGGTATAAACCAACCCTCCCTTCTTTACGTCCCTTACACCAACCTTGTTCATCTTCATCTTCTAGTTTTTCAAATAGGTCTCCTAAAATTAAAATTTATATTTATTATAAATTTATACCACATAGAGGTAAGACATTTTTTTTACCTTGTTTAAAACTAAGTTCATCAGCTTCAGTTCCCTCATAATCATAGAGTGCTTTTACAGGTACACCGGGTTCTCCGTTGTCCACAAGCGCACCATCGGGACCAACTCCTTCTTCCTCATCCCATTCCTCCTCTTCAAAAGGATTTGAGTCCGGTGTTTGGCTATTGGACGCTCCATTGCTATTATCAATTTAAAAATATATATATATATATACATTTAGCAAAAATAATAGTTCGAAAACAAAGTCAATAAATCAAAAATCAGGATTTTTAAATTATTTTTTAATATTACAAATTAAAAGGGATTTCTAAATACAAAGGAATTAAAGGACATGTGTAACCGATCTTACCGATTAACACAGGTATATAAGGTCCAGTGCACGACCCCTTCATTAGGAATCTAAATGACATTATGTTTAAATGTCATTTCCAAAAAAAAAAAAGAATTGTTTTTCTTAAATAAAATACATTTTTGTATTTTAGTAACTTACGTTATTGGATGTGATTTTGTTCCATTTGATTTTTCCGTGGATTGTTTATGATCATCAGTGCTATCATTAGATCGTGATGTTGCAATAGTTTGCTTTTTGCTATTTATTTTTGGATTAGTTAAATGCAAATCCTAAAAATATTTAAAAATGATTAGAATGTTAATTGAAATATAGTATTAACACTTCACAAATTATTTAAAATAGGCATACATAAAAATAAAAACAATTCAAATAAAATACTATTAGTCACACTAATATAACTTTTTCTAACTAATACATAATTATACTAAAAATAAAAATAAATAAATGCACACTGACATTTACATGCAAATCTTCACCGACTGAGCGTTGATTGATTAATGTAATTGTTCCAGCAGGTATAGATTCTTTGAGTTTTCCTTTCGATATATCTCGGAATTCTTCTATATAATCCTATAGAAGAATAACACGACAACACACATGCACACAAATTAGATTAATGGCTTTACTACAATTATTAAGAATTAAAAATCAAAACAAAAACCAAAAATATATGCTTCTAGTAAATAAATCACCAACAACTTTCTACAGTAAAAATTAACAAAAAAAACATTTATTTTATAATGAAGCATCACAAACCTCAAACAAGGGCCAGTTCATAGCCATGTTAACACCATGATTATTTGACCACCACCTCAAATCTTTCTCGTGGTCAGCATTATTGATTGTGTGGTAAAATTCTTCATAAATTTGTGGCAATCTAATTAATAAAAAAATAATTACATGATGGTGTGGTGTGTATTTGTAATAAATAAAATAAAATTGTATTTCTTACACAGGATCTTGAGAAACATTTAGGCACTTGTGTATTGTGAATAGAGTATCTTTAAAAAACTGTAGTCTTCTTGCTTCTGTTTCTTGGCATCGATCAAATACAACAGTCATATCTTCCATGTATTTTGGATTATAAGCATTTAATTCTTGAAGTGTCATTTCATATTTTTCTTTGGCTTTTTGCACTTCGTCCTTAGATTTAGCCACGCGATCTTGCATTTTTTTTACCTAAATATCAATAAATTTTATGTTTATAAAATAAATACAATCATTTTTAATAATTAACTAAGTATTCCATTTTTATTTACTTGATCCATGGATAAGGAACTATCAGCAGAAGCATTTCGTTCTTGATTTGATGCAGATTTTTCTGCTTTACATGCAATATGGTACTCATTTTTTGTTTTGTTAACCTTTGTCAATAATTTGCACCAAGGTTTTTGAGCTTTTTTAAATGATTCTTCCATTTCTTTGCGTTCTTTTATGTGTAAAACAGTCTAAAACAAAAGATGTAACATATAGGCAAATATTTAAATAAAGAATTTTATTTGTAATAGTTAAAGCGTTTTTTTTTTTTTTAAATAAATTATTTTATTAGTATATTACAATAAAAATTTTAATATTTTAAATAGTTTCAAAAATACTGATTTATTTTAAACAATAAACTGGTAGATATTACAATATCGAAAATGTATTACCTTATGGTAATTGTCTTTTTGCCACGTTTTCACTTGTTGCATTATATCATTACACAAGTCATCTTTGACTCTTATATGTAAATCACATAATCTATCTGCTTCAACCAGTACACCCTTCCAAGCTGCTTCCGTAGTTCCATATTCGGGACCTTTTTCTATGATTTCATTCCATTTTTTTGACCATCCTTTTAAACTTTTGGCATATGCTTTTTCGATGTCTGATCGTTCTTGTATAAGTGTAATAAGATCATTGCATAATCGATAGCCATCTTCAATACGTTTAGTGGTACGTTTATGATTACCAGGTTCCCAAAACGAATCACTACTTGCTATTAACATGTTGTCATCGCTATGATGTGACATTTCCACTGATATTTACCTACCTAAAACTAAAATCAATAGCTTTAATTAATATATTATCTAAAAAACATAAATCAAGTACTTCAAATATTTGTAAACTGATAGTGAGTCATTAATTACAACCTTGATTACAACATTACAAAATTTCCAAAGAAAAGTACAATATATAGGTAATAGATACACTTATCGTTCAATTATTTTTATGGTCAATATAAATATGATATTACACCTAATTATGAATTATATTAATTGTATGTATTTACAAAACTGTAGTAGACATGACCTACTAAATTTTCTATACTGTAGTCTTTTAAATCATTTTCCATTCACACTAAAATCTTTATAATTCTTAAACCCGTTAACACTGATTCAATTTTAAATCAATGAAAATTAACAAAGACATATTCATACACACATAGTGTACAACTGAGCCTTAAATGAATTAGTATTATTCATTATTTATCCACGTGTGTTAAATTATTCTCAAATATAAGGCCAGAGTAACAAATCATTCCCCTACTATAATATTATGAATGATGTCATTCAGCATTTGGCCCGATAATATAATATATTATCCAATGTCTATACTGCACACTTTTCAGTTTTTTATGCTCAAAATCTGTCACATAAATAATGATATCTTTATTCCTACTCCACACTAAACCACTAAGGTTATTATGGTAGGACGAACATAAAGTCACACAGAAACCTATAATAACAGTTCAGGAATATTAAATATTTGCTTCCTCATAGAATATTAAAACGGACAACACGTTTTATAAGGTATAAGGTTATTAAAATATTCATTAAATAAATAAGTATGAAAGTGCTTAATATTTATTTTAAATGAACTTAAAAATGAAATCAGCTTTCACAAGTAGTTTTAAAAATAATAAATTTATAATTTATAAAATAAAATAATTGTACATCACACTATAATTATATAAACCATAAGGTAGATAAGAAATGTTAGCAGGCCAAATGTAATATTTCTAACGATGTACCGACTATACATTTTAAAATTCAAGTTACAACGTGTACATATTATATTTGCAAATTACAAATAGAAAATTTATTTTAACCAATTGGCTAATTCAAAATTTCATAAGTAGATAGGCATTTCAAAATAATAATTATTATAAGTAATCGGTATATTTATTGGAAATGTATTATGTTATTATTCTTGATACCTAATATTTCCTGGCACAAAACTAAGAGGTATTTTTTTATTTGCCGGACATCTACATAGGTCAATGATAATAGTGTAAAATGTGATCATGTTATACAACATAAAATAAAGAAAGATTTTGTCAAAATTATAAAATATAAAATGTATTAATTATTGTGAATTGCTGACATATTATTCTAAACATAAAAATCTATTTCAAATGTAATACATTTCAATGAATTCCTACAGTTCTATGTAAAAAACATCAATGGCATTCAATTAGTACAAAATCAATAAATATCTCAAGTATTTATTTAATTTAAAAATAATAAAAATCATGCTATTGATTATTGTATATTTTTTCATTACGAACTGAATTTCATGTTACATAAGTACAACAAAAAGTATCATGATATCTCAATCAAATATTTGTATGGAATATTATTTTGAAAACGATCATTAAAATATGTGAAATAACTTCTTTAAGCAAAAACAATAATAAGTATTATACGCTATAAAATAAAATATGAAAATATTTTTTTCACAGAGTTCAAATAAATTAGCATCGCTAACTCATCAGGTATTAGAACTCAACAAATAATGGAATGCACCGTGAAAAATAGAACAATGTTGTTGAATACACTGGAATGTCTATTCCAGTATTACAAATGATATGTATCTGTAAGGTTCTATAACTATATATATATATATATATATATGTATAGTTAAATAGCATAATATAAATATATATAGCATAGATTTTATATTAATATAATAAATGTGAAACATGTGTATGTTTGTTTGTTTGTCCTTCTTTTATGTCACAATGGAGAGACCTATCGACATGATTTTTTGCATAGAAACAGTTGGAAAACTGGTAAATAACATAGGTTACTTTTCATCACTTCATCATGGAAAAACATCTCATTTTTGGTGGAAACCTACTCCATTAAACATTTTTTAAAATATCTAACTTCTAGGGATTTAAACTTAGAGCAACCGTTTTTGTATCTTAATATAGACCTCAATAAGGAATACCGACCTACATTAAAATAGTAAAAGGTCATTTCGGCAATTCAACAATTTAAGTAGTAAATTAAAACTGAAATGTAAATGCGTCTAAGAATTTATATATTTGCCATATAAACATGAATGTTGATTTTATTAATTGAATAGTTTATTATAAATTGGAGAAAATTCTAAAAAAAAAATTATTAGCAAACAATTAATTAAAGTGTTATTGATTTAGATAAAAATGCAGTAGAAACATAGTTAATAAAATAATTTATAAAAGCTATAATATACGATACATGTATTTCTATATAATTTATTAAATGATTATGATAGAATTATGTTTAGTTCATCTATGAATTTTAAAATTAAAATACTACATTATTTCTAAGAATATGAGTATAAACTTTGTGTATATTTATTGATGGAAATAATTCTTAATAATAATGTATTTATAGAAAACTAAATACCAAGACATTAAACAGTAAAACTTTTTAATTATAATAATTATATTATTTTATAGAAAACTAAATACAGAGTAACAAAATATCTCGACAATAATATAATTATATAACAAGAAATATAAAAATTGTCAGAACAAATAAGTCATAAAAAATAGTTGCATTTCATAACAAAATAGAAAGTATTGATGTTAATGTTTCTTGGTAGGGTATTAGGCTGGGGTTTAATACAATAAGAATATAATGTTTCATAAAACCCCAAAAATGCCTAACAAATTCAAAATAATGCACCAATAAAATATATTCAAAAATACATGTAATGTAATGTTAAATAAAATGAGCACCATACAGCAAAATTTGTAAAACAATACTAAGTGCATTTAAGTTCTAGTCCTAATAATAATTATACCTACCTTACAAAAAACAGTAAAGGTAAAGAAGTACTAAAGTACTAAAGAAGGTACTAGGTATTAGATGAGATTTTTCACTAGCATTATATTTTTAATGTCATAATATTACTAACTTGTGTTTATAGAAAGTAAATTATAATTTATAATAATTAATTTAAAATTAAATAAAACTTGTTTAATTCATTTTAGAAACATACAATTTTAAACATTTAAAATATTTATTTTACCTTAATAAGTGTTTTCTGAGAAAAAAATCACCTGGATTTCTAAAACTTATAGCTTCCTTGTTTAGAATTTAAACATTTTAACTGGAGAAATAGTTAAACATTTATTTATTTTTTTTGGATTTTTTTTTTCATTTCACTTGTTAATAACATTAAATCGTCTACAATGTATACTATACAAATACAAATTAATTAGTTAAATATTAGATATTTAGATCAAGTCATATATGTACATATATATATATATATATATAATACATTATATTCAAATGTTATCAATGAATATAAATAGCACGAAGAATAGCATTAAGCTATAAGCTATAATTTGACAGTTAAACAAATATTTAAATAAATTTGTTTCAATTTAAATATTAGTTAGTGTTTAAGATGATTTCTTACTTTTAAATAAATTTTCAATATGAATTTAAGAAATATACATATTAACATTTAAAATTTGTTCAATCAATTAGATATTGAAGAGCATCAATAGATTTTTTAGATAGAATATTATCATATATGATCCTCAGTGGAATGTTGATTAGCTTGCAGCATATTTGGTCCTTGACCCTCTAGGCCACACCCAGTGTAGTGTGTTTGAAGAGGCCTCTTCTTCTACCACTGTACATCATAAAACGTGCTAATACAAATCAATTTTATTGAAGATAATGCAGTAGTATTTTGTTAATTACCTACTCTGTCAACACGAAGATAATAAGCTCCAAAAATATGTGTATTGATAGTGTCAATTTGTTTGTAGTTACGGAAATTCTTCAATTTTTATTAAAAGCTATCAATGTGGCTAATAAGACAAAATTAGGATTAAATGCTTAACATTTTTTTTTACCCACCCACAAACATTAAGTATGGTCTTATACAAAGTCAACTGTAAATATGAAATACCCTTCCATTATTAGACAAACGTTATAGGTCTTCTTTTTTACAATCCAGTCTTTGACCTTATTGATTGTTTTAAAAAATATATAAATGTAATAATGGTTATCTAAACCATTTGTGAAATATTATAAGAATTTTTTTAACCAACAGAAAATTGACTAATTTACACATCCAGTATGTCATTAACTTACTAATGATAACCTTTAATTAGCTAATTTTATTATATGATATTTATATAATACCTATTTATCAATAATTTAAAACTGTAATAAAATGTATGTGTTTGATCATTTACATATACATTTTTACATACTCGATCCTCTAAAATTGATCAATATCTATCAATAATTAAGAAATTAAAATATACAAGTATTATACATGGTAAACCACAGTACCTACATTACTCCGTTAGATATCTGTTAAAATTTAAAAAATTATGGCATCTTACATAACATATTTACCTACAGTAGGTATCTGGTATTTGGTATAGTAGCAAATTTAACTATTTTAATTAAATAATTTTTGTGAATGTTAGTGGGGTGATTAAATTTGCATACAAGATCCAAAAAAAAACTTAATTTAAAAACAGTTAGTGGAAAATGTTTTTTTATCACATAAGGGGAGACCTTATAAAATAAGCTCTTCAATGTTATTTTAATATCTACTAAGCATTCAAATAAATATGAATTACTACAAATTACACAAAAATAATTTTTTTCATCCTAAAAACCTGGGTTAAGTGTGGTGTCACCTATTTTGTGTGAATTTCAATTTTGTATTTTGTATTTTTATGTGGTACCTAATACATTTAAGCAATATTATATATAATACAATACAACATATTACAATATGCAATACCATATTAGCATATATTAGCAATGCCTAATATTCAAATAGATACTACAAAAATTACTTGATTATAGTGATATTGTTGACATTTGTGTCGCGAAATTGTATTTACAAGTATCTATAAAGTATATAGAGTATGCATACATAGTATATTATATGGATATCATACACAAATATAATTTGTTTTCACATTTAATAGAGAAATATAAGAAGCTTTAAAATTATGTTGCTCCTAAATGCTACCTTTTTTTAATGTAGTATAATATATGTAATATGTAAATGTGAAACTTAATATTTTTATAAGACAGGAAAATTTTTTATAAAAGATAGTGTAATAAGTAATGCATACTTAATACAATAATACTACTTGGCAACTATAGTAGAGGTACACACACACACTCACACGCACGCCCATTTATTTTTTATCATACTAAATAAGTAGGTACTAAATAAAAATATATACTCTTATAAATTCTGATAAATAATAGGTATATCTAAATTATATTTTCAAAAAGAGAAATATTACCCTAAGGTTAGGTCAGATTAGATAATTAAATTTCTTTAGGAACGCATAGGCAATACAGTGTTTGTTAATAGTTCACATAAATTAATTATTAAGTAGGTATCTATAATTCTTTAAAATAGGATAAGTTTGCCGAAATTATTTTTTTATTAACACTCCAAATCAAAATTGCGGCAAAGAATAAATATATTTAACTGCACATGAGAAAAAAAATAATTTTCATGATATTTGAAGAATTTATCATAAATCTTATGAAATACCTAAATTAACTAATAAAACTTCTGTTATCAGTTTTTTTTTTTTATTGTTATTATTTAAATACTTTACCCATCAGAATATAAGGAAATAAACACTTAAAATGAAAAAAATTAGATAATTCCAAACATTTTTTTTTTTTCTAGTAGGTAGGTGTAAAACTGAAACCATTAGATAACTTATTTTAGTCTTCATTATGCAATATAATTTGATTTTAAATTATAATTACAAATCAATTTGATTATTTACTATTTTCACATAATATTACACCTACAAATTTAAAATAAATGTAACAAGATGTATAAAATAATTTTAAAAACCTTTAACTATATCTAAAGCACTAGTTGCTCATATTACAATAGTGTATACAAACTGTTATTACAGCCAATGGTTCTAAAATGAAATATGCTGGGTTTGCATTGCCATGCTCTTAAATAAAAAAGTTTTAATTAAAAGTGTTAATAATTAGGGGTACCTTTAGAAACAAAAAAATGCCAATTTATGAATTCCAAAGCAATAACAAGTTTAGGACTTTAGTAAGACAAAAACTTCAATTAATTTTTATTTAAGTTTGAATTTTATTATAATGTACCAATCTTATAGAAATAGAAACATTTTAATGGAATTATTTAGTTTAATACAAGAACAATCATTATTTTTTGACTTTTTGTCTCAATAAAATTACCTCAGAAATGATTCGCTAATACCTGACATGATTTTTAACAGTAAATGAAAAAGGATTTTATAATTATAAGAAAAACATTGACAAGGATAAAAATCAGTGTATATACTTTTTAATACATTTAAATTCAAAATTATTTAAACAGAATTAAAAAATATTATACTTATTTATTTATGTTACACATCTGCTTACATATAACATCTACTTAATGAAAAATAAAAAACTATTATCTAATAAGTACCTTCCTAATAGCTTGACTTACACATGCCCACTATAATTAGTTAATTATAAATGTCAAAGGTATTTAAAGTGTAAAATAGAAGAAGCCACCATTCATAACTAATGATTAAATTATAATATAATAATCTGATGGCATTTAAAAAATAATAATGAATGCCCTATGCATTTTCTTAATATGAACTTGCACTCAATAAATAAATATAGGTATGATGAATTTATATTATAAAAAGATAAAGACATATTTTGCACAATGGGTGGGCAACTGTTGTAGGTGAAAAATTGGGAAGGTAGGATATAGAGGACAGTTGAATGTATATCTGTACGCAATGATTAATCTTAGTTAATAAAAACGATTCTGAGCAGAGTTTTGTTATAGACGTTTTGAAAGGCCATAATATTTACGGTTTAAAAATAAAAAAATTTCGTAAATTTTCGAATTCTCCTAGTTTTTTTCCGATTTTTCACATTTATTATTGAAACTGCTAGCAAAATAAAAATATCATCTATCTAAAATACCACCTTGGTTAGATTTCCTTTCATAAAAAGTGCTACACTTGAAAATCAAATCAACATTTCTGGTACAAAAATTGTTCACGAAAAAAAAAAATCAATTGTAAAACCAATACATTCCTCGCTCCATTCAGAATCTAAAATGAAAAATGACCATAATAAACTGTAGCCTGTATCTCCTGCCTAGCCACTAGCCACACAGATACTTAATTAAGTTTAGATAGAGTTGAATCATCACCTGTGAATAATAATTTTTATTTTATTCGTAAATACCTATTGAAATTTTGTTATTTGATAAGCCAAATGGTTATTAGTGTAGTTATTATCTAGATTTCGTTAATTTACTGGGCGATATCAATTATTACAATAACATAGCGCAGAATGGCCATAGTACGAGGAAATGCAATTTAAAATTATTATTATTAATATTTTTCAACCCAATAAATATTGAATAAAACAATGTAATACTTTCAACTTGAATTAGAATTATTAGATACGTAATAGAAATAAACCTCGAAAGAAACTAGCGAAACCAATTTAATATTTCATTTCAAAAATACATACATTTTTGCGAGAAATCAAATGCATATTTACTAATTAGTATTTATCTATATACTATATATTATGTAGTTTATCATGAAAATATACACGAAGAACAATTATTTAAAAATGAATTACATTCGAAACTCGAACTTATTCATTCTAACTTCACCTGTCACGACTTTATTTTTAATTTTAACACCTGGGTAATAACGATTTATTAATTTTCTCAAAAATTAGTGTTTTTCAAGAATAAAGTACCTGTCTCATATGTGGTATGAATCTTTTCGGCAATTGATTGATGTAATTTCAACGAGTGAATAATGAAAATGTTAAACGAGACATAATATGAATCGGACCCCCATAGTAATTCACAGCTACAAAAATAAATGCAACAACCGCAGACGTATAATGGAATGGTCAAAATGAGTTTCTTATAGGTAGTTTACTTAATATTTACCTGGATGGTACACGAATCGTAGTCAAATGTGGACCGCAGTGACTGTACGAATGGCAACTGTCCAGTTTTAGATCCGAAAACGCGTCCCGGTACGAATTCACAGGCGACAACAATAATAACTCGGTAATAATAAACGGTCACGAAAATGATTGACGACTCAAAACCGAAAAACTCTTCTTTATCAATATTCCGTTATCAATTATTGACATGGCACAGGTGTGGGGTAACTCCTCTCGTCACGGCGTATCATTTATATCATAATAACATACATTTTTAAGTATTAAACACTTTTAAAGGGAAAAAAATGAAAAATAGTTTTAATTTCCTGTACAACAAATGCACTCGACACGCCGTCACCGTACACTAACGACACGACCAGGCGGGCGTGAAACAATTGCAAACAGTAAATTAAAATTATTATTATTTATTATTAAAAATAATGGCAAAAAGAATAATATGAATATGGTGTGGAGCACGACGACGGCCGGTACGATCCGACTGAGGTAATACCGATTGCCGAGTAGTGCCGAAACTGAACGAACGGCGGCGCCCGATTGAAATGCGTGGACACTCGGTGCGGAGGTATTTAATATTTTTTTTCTTTTCGCCAATTCTGCTCCGCCGCCCGAGCCGTTCGTCCAACTCCTAAACGTCGTTGCCGGTCGCGCGCGCCATCTACCGCCGTCGACCAACGGCACTCGCTGTGCGGCAACGTGTGTGAACGCGGCGATTACTTCTGCCTTAATGTGGATCCGTCACCTTTTTCGTACGCGCCAAGACCACGACTGCTGAATGCTAAATGGCGTATTGTATTTCAGAACTCTGTTTTTGAACTTTTGCGAATAACCAAAACATTTTACATGTACACGTTGTGGCCTGTGACGAGCACCAGATCACAGCTAGGGATCATTTGAGCGTAGCATACACCCGTCCTTACATTTTTTTAATAAGCTTTATGAATTCTCTGTAATTATTATGTTTTTTATCGATATTAGGAGACAATATTACAGTGACATACCTGTGAAACACTTTTTTTTTTGGGGGGGTGAGTATATTAATTGAACAATTTTTTATGGTTACATTGTCTGTAATTATAAATAGGTTATAATATAGGTTATATTATAAATAATATAAAATAGTTATAAATAAAAAATGAATCAAAAACAAAATCTAAATTTCGGTTTTTTTACTGCCAGAAAATAAATCAATCACTTCGTCAACTTAAACCCATGTTAATGGATATTAATCAAAGCCATCCCAATTCACCCATGTTAGACCTCAACCAAGATCAATAAATGTTTAAATCTAAGTTTAAAAATACAAAGCAACACAACTCAATAAAATAATATTCAATAAATAATGGTTGAAAAACGTAGATACAATTAAGTAATGATATTGTCCTCGTGTAACTATTCTGTGTTGTATCCACGTTATAATACTGTGACCATGACCCTAGTCCCAATTTGGTCAAAGTTTGACATTTATATTATATTGTTAATTGATATCAAAAATCTATAACTGAATACCCGATTATAATTTTAAAATTTTAAATATACATTATTAAAGCTTGAAAATAAATTTGAATCGTGCCATTAAACAACTTTTCGGGGGGAGGCAAATACCCCTGTTACACCCTCCTCAGGTACGTCACTGCAGTATTCTATACAAAACCATTACTTATTTACTTCACTTCTCTGCTATAATATGCATTATAATTTGTCGCATAACAGATGTAGGCAATGGCGGCGGCGTTTGAATTACGCGCAGGTTTTTTTTTTCGAACAACGTACCACTGATTATTATTTTTTTTTTCAAATTATATTATTTTCTTCGTTACTGTTTTTTTTTTCCTTCCTTCATCGCTTCCTGATTGTTTTTCTCGTAACACACAGTTCGGCTCGCACGGGGATATAATACAATATAATAATTCGATCCGGAAAAATATCCGTTAGATACACGACGGCGACGAGGCCGTAGATACAGCCGCGTATACCTATATATAATAATAATATATTTTTTTTTTTTTTAGGTAGGGATAAGACATCGTGTCATCATGATGACGTATTTAAAATATTGTTCTTTCTAAATTTTATATTTTTATCGCGAATCGTAGTTTTTTGTCGAAAAACTAGACTATACCACCTATATATTATCATAGTAGCTTACATAAATGTCGTATAGGTATAATAGCTACCTACTGTGTTGTCTACGGTCAAATTATAATTATAATATTATAAATTATAATTATCAAATTGTTTATCCGAATAAAAAATTATGATTATGACACATTATTGGAATTTGGAATTTTAGTTCTTTATAATTTTACACATAGAGTATCTATATATTACATGATTTTACATGAAATTCAGTATAATTAATTGTAGTCCATTTTTTTTTTATGTTTTCACCGAATCTCGTATAGTCCTATTTGTTTTCCAATTTAAAGGTCGTCATTCAATTTTGGTGACTATTCGTAAACTCATTTCAAAGAAAATGTCTTCATTCATCAAAAATGAAAATAAATAAATAAATACTATATTTTTTGGGTAGTCCACAATATACCGCTTAATGAGAAATGGTCCTTATAAAGTTTAGAATGAATAACAGAAGACAATTTCTTGATAACTGTAAAAAGGATTGGTTACTTTTAAATCTCTATATTAGATTACATCCATATATGTATCTTTACATCACAGTAATACTTTGACAGCAAGATATAACATATTTTTACCATTACGGTTAACAGCTGTACCGCCTGTACCCTAATATAGGTAATGTTTATTCCAATCACGTACCTACGATTTAAAAATCTTAAATAATTATAATTAAACAAAACACATAAAAATATAATAGTACCTATAAATAAAGAGAACACATTTATGGGAAGTTTTTGGATAAATTACAAGAAAAGGAAAAATGTAGCATTCTTTAATTTTTAACAATTAATACCTACATTATATTATTATATAGTTTGAATAGTTTGTTAGTTTTAAATTATTCCTGAATTTTTTTAAAGTCAATTCGAATATTTACAAATTTATAAATACATTTATTTTTCCTGACATTTCGTGAAAATTAGCTGTACGCAGACCTTAAAATACGGGTTGTAACACTTCCTTTTAAAAATTTCGGCTAAATATTTTTAGCGCGAATCTATTTGAATAGAAAAGAAGCTAATTACTATTTCACAATCTGTACGTAAAGGATAAATACTAAGAACCGTAGTAGATACCTAAATACCAGTGCTCGAATATGGGAGGGGGGAAGTAGTGTGACACCGTACCTCCAGTAATTTTTCAGAAATTTTAGCATACCTCTACTATTTACTTTGAATGGAACGCATGGGACGCGATATATATTTTTTCATTTTTATCAAAATTTATTTTAATGAAAATAAATAAATAATAATAAATATAATATTGTATATACGCTCAATTTTTCTCTTTTGTTACCTACCACTAATTGCAACTCATGATAAACCTTGTGTTCAATTTCCACTGTCACTGTGGAAACTTGTCACTGTGCCAATTTTAAACACACAAAACCAAGTAAAAATCTAAAAAGCTCGAGAATTTCAAATATCTACAAATAACTGAAAAATTATCTACCAGAACGTTTTGAAATGTATACGATATCTCGAAAATACTGTATAAAGGTAAATTCGGTGATATTCCTGACCTCTATGATTATTTTTCACTGAATTACAACAAAACAACAAAATCGAATATAACAGAAACCGTTATTATATTATTGTGTTAGTAAGTACCTATTACAATTTTCTTAACGTTTTTCTTGATTCACGTTGAGTTAAATAATTGCAAGGGACGTCAATTTGTTTTATAAACCTTACAGTCCCTCATCTTTTAATTTTTCAATTAGAGCGCTGCTACCATATATCTAGAATTTACAACGGAAAATTTTTGACGGAAATTAAAAAATCATGAAAAATTTGATCATAACTGTCAGGGGTGATCCGAATGTAATGGATATTACAAAAAAAACCTTTAAAAATTTCGGCAACGATGATTGCTGTTTCGCAATCAATGGCCGTACTGTAAATAAAAAAAAGAAAGAATATTGAAAAATAAAAACAAAAAAAAACTTACGCGCACACACGAAAATGTGATAGGTACCGATGGTTATACCAGGCGGAAATCTTATATCGATTCGGCACAATAGATAACAAGATCGTTGTTATAGAATTATATATGTACCACGATTGTGGGCCTCGATAGGCCCGTGACCACCAAATTAATTGATGTTGCTTAAATTATTTTGGTGTTTTGGTTATTTCCAACGTACCGATTGATCTTGTGAAGCGATAAGAATTCTGATGGCAGATTTGAATTTGTCGTGAAGTCTACCGGATATCGGCTGTTCCACTTGTTTTATTTTATCACTATTACACAGGCGTCGCGATAGCCGATGATAATATTTTTTACTAAAGTCACCCGGGATTAGGTTTTTTTTTCGGTTTCCGACGGCAGCGGTTTTACAGGCGACCGGTCGGTATACTTGGAATTGCGTTTGAGGTTTTTCCCATTTCAACGGGAGGCCCACGACCGCGACGGATTACGCGCCCTATCCGCGTCTGTCGTTTCGGCCGCGGGCCCTTGAAACCTCGACCGTCGCCCATATTCACCGCCGTAGTACCGTATCTAATACTTATATTATACCCATTATGTGCGTTGTTATTGAGTATATGTAATGACATTCTTGCGGTAATACATTTTTATCAGACCGGGATGATTAAAATTGTATAATATTCAGTATTAAGTAACTATTAAGAGAACGTGATGTGCCGTCTCTATCTTACAAACGTACGATACAGCAAATTGGCGTTCGGCGGGAACAACATACCTACTATTTTTTTGTGGCACACGTTTTATAATAGGAATTGACGAATAGCGGCGAATCAACCTATTATCAATCTTAAAGTCAAGAACATTGCAACGTTTGAACTATTTTTTCAATACTTTAATATTGGCAAACGAATAATATAAGCATTATTAAATTGTAATAATTCACATGCCTATACTCATATCCTTCTTAAAAATTAAAATATCGAAAAAATAGCGTCAACGATCCATAGATAATGTTCTTATGTTTATGTTGGACAATAAGGAAATTCGCTCTATTATTAAATAGCATACTTATTTTACTTTGGGTTATTTAATTTATATCTGTATAAGCAACGATAAACCATTTCTAACGAAATACGATTCTGAGCGAAGTTTGACTATGCATGTTTTGATATGCCATAATAGGATACTCGTATTTACGGTTTTTGGTCAAAATTTGACCTTAAAACGGTTATAAAAAACTGCTACATTATGCTCAACTTTTTTATTTTTAACATAAAGTACAAATTATAGTGAATCTTCATCGTGTTAAATTTTCAAACATTTGTGTTTGGTCAAACAATTTTGACCACATATAGTACCTATATAAAAGAAAATCTAAAAATGATTATTAATGTTATTAGGTATATTACGATTTATATTTCATACTATAGGTACTTGAATTTTTTTTTGTGGGGTTCGTCTACCAACAAAGAGTAAACTTTTTGAATCA